GTATATTCACCGTCACACCCCATTACTATTAATTCAGTAAGGCAAATTAAACAAGCTGCCCATGAACCACAATACTCTCAAATTAAAAAGTTCAAGTTCAATATATTCTCTCAAACCAATTAATGATTAATAAGGTTTTATGTAAAATATTTACAAAAACAATTTATAAAAGATAAACGTGAAATGGCGGAAATGGTTTCATTTTATAAAATAAACAAAAGAAAGAGGGCTTGACTTTTCATTTGAATTTACTTGAATACCCTTGACCGAAGACTGCTTTGTAGGAAATGGACTAGTGATTCGTGGGAAGATTGATTGTATATTGTTTAACGTCCGTCTCGAAAAAATTTTACTCATTATCATGGAGACGCCACCAGTTGTCGGTGGAGAGCTGCAAATCTTGTCCTATACTCTGCACATAGGGTCATTGAGCAGTAAGAGAAATTTTTTTCGTGCCAGCACCTACTGCGTCACGGGGCCTCGGTTTAAATACGGTCTTATCCGAAGGACCTGTCTCCACGTCCCACAGTGGGATTCGAACCCGCGACGTAAGGGAGACATTTGCAGTCGTATGCCAGCTTTAGCTCAGGTGAGCAAAAAAATGAATACGATGCCCATGGGTCACATCACTCACCTGAATACTTTGAAAAGCTAGGAAAAGCAGAAATCGGTTCAGTATTAGAGGCAAATTGGGCTACAACGCTCACCTGAGTAACTTTAGTCCTCCTATTCTTCACCAGTTTTCCCCAAATGTAATACCCCAAGATGCTTCAGCATTTCTGACCCAGTGGTTCTTGAGGAGTTTTAAAAAGATAATTCATTTAAATTTCAATGTAAAACTTGGATTCCACCCTAAACCCGGGGTCATGATTTGAAAATTTAGAATCTACACTACCCTTGATTGATTCCAAATAAGTTTCAGCTTCCCTGGTCCAAAGGGCATTGAGAAGAAAAAATTAAAGATTTTTTTCTATATATTTCAATGAAAAACTCCCTATTATGGCCCAGTACTACCCCAGAGGGTCACGATTTGAACAATTTAGAATCTTCACTGCCTCAGAATACTTCCACATAAGGTTCATCTTTTCTGGCCCTGTGGTTCTTGAGATTTTTTAATATCCCCACCCTATTTTTGTCTTTTCTTGATTATTACCCCTTGTAAAGGGGTTTGGCCCTTCCATTCAACAAAGTAAACTTCACTTCACCAGGGGATGGTCTCAGCTCAGGTGAGCTAATAAGAGGCTCAAAGGTCTTGATGGTTATACAAGTATTAAGTTTTCAGATTAAGCCCACTTGAAACTCTCTTAGTCTAGCTTATATCACATACAGTGGCCATTTGACGGAACCCCCCCTCCCCCGCGGAATTTGCAGTTATTGAATGTATCTAGTTAACCAAGTAAAAGTTACCTTGGACACCCCCTCTAGCGAACCCCTCCACAAAAATGCAGATCTGTGTAATAAATTGGTATAAAAAGTCCTACGTATGAAGCTTGATAAGTCAACGACCCCTCCCCCTCCCCCCCCTTCCCCATGAATAGGTTTTTAACTTTTGGGGAAAAGCCTAGTTAAATTTTTTTTTTTTTGCTTGTCGAGAATTTTCTTGTGTCACAATTTTTTCTTTTGGCTGGGTGGAACCCCAGGGAAAAAAAAAAAATCTGGATCCACGCATGTTTTAGCTCATCTAAGCCAAAGGTTCAAGTGAGATTATCTAATGAAAGTTGTCCGTTATCTTTCATTGTTGTAAACTTTCACATTTTCATTTTCTTTTCCATGACCACTGGACCAATTTCAACCAACTTTGCGAAAAGTATCACAAGATAAAAATGATTCAAGTTTGTACAAAAAGAAAGTCAAGCACTCCTTCTAGGGGACATTTTTTTAAAGTTAATATTTGGTGGCATCTTTAAAAAATTTCTTTTCAAGAAAGACCCAAAGTTGAAACCTTTATAAGTGCATCAAATTTATTCAGATCACGACCTCCAGGTGGAAAGGTTGGGGCCAGGATTGGAAAGCCAAATATAACACAGGAATAATATTGGAAATTTTTTTTAAAATCTTTTTTTCTTTTTGAAAGCCATAAAAAGACAAAACTTTGCTGTACATGTCAATTCATTTTAAGCATGTTCTCTATAAGCATGTTACACTGTCTGGGTAATGAAAATTGTTGTTTTTTTAAGATAGATTGTATGAATTTCTAACTTTGACCTCAAAATCAATATGGGTCTATTTTTGGCCATAAGGAGTTGTGAAAAAAAATTCACAGCAAAAGCTCTACAGTCTTTAAAGACATCACTTGGAAAACATCTCATACACAAGCATTTTGACCTTTATGACCTCAAAATAACTAGGAATCTTTCATTGGCCATAAGTTGGGATATAAAATTTCATTCCAAAAGGTTAAAAGTTCCTTGAGATATCATCTGGTAACAAAACTGTTACACACTGACAGAAAGGGATGAATGGACAGACAGACACCTAAATTATTAATCCTCATTTTCAGTGAAAGCTGGGGACAAAAAAATTATTTTTTCTACCAAATGACAATTCAAACTACGATTTTTTTTTCAAAGCTTTAATTCAACAAACAGAAACATTTTAGCACCTAGCTCTGTTGCTTTAACAAATTCCAGAACAGAAAACAAGATAAAAACAAATCACTCTTTCAAGAACATCTTGGCAATAACTGATAAATCTTGTTATAAATGTAGTCCACAACTTCTAACTTGTTCCTCATTTCAGCAATATTTCTCTTTGCCTCCTCAATGGCAAAGTTCAGAATAGCTATGAACACCACTAAAACTGTCCACTGTACCAGAAATATGTACAGGAAGAAAAAGACGGGGCCCAGGTATCTGTTGGCTTGCTGAAGTGAAGGAAAATCTGATTCTCCTAGGGCTAGTCTAAACAGGGTGATGAGAGTCTTCCCCATGTCCATAAATCCCTCAATAGAAGGTCCAAATGCCAACACCGCAAAGTGTCCAAATCCTACCACCACAAGGAAGATTATTATGCTAAAGCCAATCAAGTTTGCTTTGGCTATAGAAAGGGTCTGTGAAAGTAAATACATTCTTGCATTAAATTTCAAAAATTTGAAAAATTTCAGAATCACCAACGCCACAAGGAAAGCCATGACATAGTTTAGTATCATGTCCCAAGAAATGGCAGTGTAGAAGCTGACGAACTCTGTACTTGTGAGGTAGTCTGACAGTGTACTAGATACCGAGACGAATCGCTGGAAAAACAGGCCAATCACACTGAAGGACAAAATAATCTGAATGATTTCCACAAAGCTCCACGGATCACTGAAGTACTGTGTCCTACCTCCATAGTACAGCTTCCTGATTTCTATATATGAAAACGTCAGAGTAAAAATGACAAAAAATACCTCACAGACCGCAGTAAATATTTCCAGACCATTATCATAACCGTAAAGTTTTGTAGTAAAGATCTGGTAGCTTGGAAATATGGCTCCAATATTGGAGAATTCAAAGAGAATCAGGATAACACTGAATAAGTTGACATTAGCATTGTAGGTTGTGAACTCGATGAAGACAGCTCTGGTTCTAAGATCTATCCAGTCTGAGTTTTGTAGGTTGTGTATCACAGACAGAGATTGGGTTACGTTCCCAGCTAAGATCACAGTATACCCCCCACCACTGTAAGTCGCTAACCTCCCCTCGTACGGTATAGTCTTCAGTTTCCAGGAGGACTGGTGGCTCCAGGTGTCAGGGATGGACTTGACTTTGTTGGGGAGGGGTTTCCTCCAGGTCAGGTTATAGTCCCCTGTGTCTTCATCCCCCACCCAGTACTCCCCTGTACAGTCCAACGAAATAGAGAAACTCTTCCTCAGAACATCTGGGAAATCACACGTGTCTGCAAATATCAAGATTAAAAATTCTAAATGTTTTCCACACAAACAAAATCTCCCTCAATAAATTTATTCTCTTCAAACTAGAAATCTCCCTCAATAAATTCATTTACAGTAAAACTCGGTTGTAACCAAGTCACTGGCACCTATAAAATTACTTTGCTATATCCGTAATCTGTTATATCCATATAAGGAATTTGTTAAATTTATATAGCTGGGGATCCAAGATAACTTCGCTTTATCTGTGAATTCGCAATATCCGTGTTCATACTGAACGAGTTTTGCTGTACTATTTGTAATAATTGATTTAATACACAATATTCCCTAATGAGATTTGACACCTTTAATTAGGAATAGTTCTTACCTTGTTTGATCCGGACTTGTCTCAGTCTATACGATCCCAACAGGTAGTATTCACTGATGGAAGTGGCTACTGTAGAATTCCCCAGGGACATCTCACCAAGGACTGGCACTATACGCTCTTCAATGTAGGACCAAAATAATTCTACATTAGCCACCTGTAATCAAAATAGAGGAGAACTTAAAATCAATTTAATTTTTGGGGGGTTCTCTCATTCACAATACTTGTCAATAAAGAAAAGAAATTACTTCAATTTTTATATATATAAGGTGTACAAATATCAAATGCAACAGAATCCTTAAATTTGAAATTCATGTTTTAACACAGTTCAGGTTACCATTTTTCCTAAAAACCATGAAATTATCCCAGACTTACGTTGTCAAGTTCCAAGATGTCTGTGGAATATCCTGAGCCATCGATGTAGATAGGAGGATGTCTGGGTTGTACAAATGTATTCTCTAGAAATTTATGCACCCTGTATGAATCGCGGACAGATCGATGTCCATGAGCCATAAAGATGATACATATAATAAATGTTAAGTACAGCATGATGTCCCTGAGTGTGGCCTGAGTGGCCTCCTCTAGCTTCAGCTGTCTGCGGATTCGGTTCATCAGTCGCTGGGACAGCGGGTCAGGGACGTAGTACCCCTGCCTCCAGTCTGTGTCCCCGTACTGCTCCTTCTTTTCTTCTGGAATATTTTGGTCAGTCATAAGTGATTTCACATACCACATGTACTAGATAAACTAATATTGTATAACTTCACATTGGTTTGGGAAAAAATCTAAAGGAGGCTTATTCATATATATGTAATTTTTTGCACTGGCTTTGACCTGTATCACACCTTTCCTGTTTGGCCCCAACCAATAATGACCTTTACCTGTATTGAACTCTGTATTACCTGTACTGGCCTTTCCTCCTTGGATCTCCACAGGTTTCTTCAGAATCATTGTGAATATAAGGGATATAGCTATAACTTTCAGGGGCTGGGTGACAAAGGCACTTTGGAAGAAAGCAGTGAAGAATGACACAAGCCACTCCACACTCTTCTGATAGCCAAACTTAAGGCCGTACAGCATTACAAAGTAAGAGGAGACAACTGACAGAGTGATGACCAGGGTCCAGGCAATGTACACTGTCCACCATGGCAAACTGAAAAACAGGATCATGTAATCTACTTTCATATCAAAATTCAAAAAAAAGAAAAAGTAACACTTTTTGTATCAATATGAAAATAATAGTTTTTTTGCATAGTCAAAGTGATTATAAAGTAAAATTTATTTTTCTTCTCAAATACCGAACATTTCTGAATGCTTTGTTTCTGTGTAACAGTGTAATGTCTTACATTCCATTCTCCTTTGCGGGCTCCATCTCTTTCTCTGTAGTCTGATCTCCCTCACCAGTCCCGACACTGACTACCGAGTACTTCTCTCTCCTTGCTTTCTTCTTGACTTGAGCCCCTCCCCTCAGTTTCCTCTTAGATTTCAGAAACAGCTGGATGATGAGAATATTTACAGGAAACATGATCAGCCCACTCTGGACCCCTATAACCAGGTCAGATAGAGATACGGTTAGGTATCCCACCTTGGCCTGGTCTGCAGGGTCATCGGTCGGAATTCCGTGAAACATGAGACTGGTCAGCATGGTCATCAGAAGTAGACAGAGGGCACAGGACAGTCGCTGGACACGGGTGAACGTGCTGTAGGAGGGCTTGGATGCAATACTCAGCCAGAGGTGGGAGTCCCGCAGGTCTCGACTGGACTTGAAGAAGAACTGCTGGTTCTTGTGGGACATCAGCTCCTCATCAGAGCAGGACTGCAGCGTGATCTTCAGGGAGACAGACCCCCTGTCCACAGAAATCCAATCACTGTAAAGGAACGTCCATGTCTTCTGGCTCTGTAGGTCCTCAATAAGTATTCTTGATAAGTACCTGATGCACAAAAATTTGCTGCTGATTCTTTGAACTATAATTGATATTGCTTTATTTTGTTCAATATTCTAATATGCCCTAGCCTGTTCCCTTTAAAGGGGCAATGATTTTATGACAAAATCTTAATTTAACCTACCTGAGGATTCTTACTTGACTTGGCATGGCCTTGGGGGTCCTCCATCCCCAGGGTCATAATTTGAACAACTTTGAAATTATATAAGTTGGGAAACTTAAGTTTGATCTTTTCTAGCTTAGTTGTTTACAAGAAGATTTAAAAAAAATCCTTTCTCTTTTTTGTATTTTCTTTATTATTTTCTTTGAGAAAGTGAATAATCTTTATGAAGACAATTTTTGAATTCCCACTTTTCAGGAAAATTCTGTAAACAAGGTTCTGTTTATGTACCATGTTATAATTTTCTTAGCCAATTTCTTAAAAAAATTCATTTTAGATGGATTTACATTTTGTGATTTCCTGTCAATGCTGGTTTAAGTGCATATTCAACAAAATTTAATGATATGATGTGGATAATATAAAATAACAGAAAAGTTTACCTAATATTAAAAAAACCCAAGTATTGAAGTAAAGCTTTGTGAATTGTCTTATCCACTAACTGTTAAATTTTTTTTTATATTGAAAACTTTGATTGGTTTTACTATAACTTACCATGCCGGAGATTTTCCTGAGTTGTCATGCCAGACAGACAGACTCTTGATGTCCCCTAAGCTGTGACTAGTGGTAATCAGAAACCAGTCCTCAGACCCCGACATGAAGCACTGTCTCCCGGGTACCGACTCACTCAGGCAGTGCCTGGCGCTGTGACCCCGCGTCCCAGAGAACGATAGACTGACGTTAGCCGAGGTCCCAGCGTCCTTCCACCATCCAGTGATTACACACACCAGGTAGGCATATCTGTTGTCTGGGTCATTCTCATGGGCAACAATTACTCCTCCCTGCAAAATGTTAATTTGAACATACTTTGCCCCAGACACACTTTGATCACCTTTAAAAAGGGTAAATATTAATTGGTTAAATTTAGAAAATTTTAGAAATTCGAGTTGAAAGCTTACAAATAAAAAGCATCCCCCTCCAAATAACAGTACATCTATATCTTTTTAGCAAGAGATATTTTTCTTGTTATTAAGAAATCTCCAAAATTCTTGACGTAAAATACCTCTGCTTCTAAAGATGAATTTGAAAAAGTTCAGCAGCAAAAAAAATCCCCATACATATCTCCACCCCTTACCCTGTACATGTCCCTTCTATCCTGTTTTGTGGCCCAGGTCAGAAGTGTGAAGTAAATCAACCAGATAATGAGGACTGTGGACACCACCACTGGGTTAGAGAAAAACGTCAGAAATAGAGCCGCATCTCCGAAAGGGTCCACAAAGTTAGGGGCCACAAAAAAACTACCGGAGAAAGCCGTGAGGTGACTACACTCACAATGTATAGTCTCAGGAGTTGTCTGTCTTCCTACCTGTAAATACAATAGCATGTCTCTATGATGAGTTCATTTTAAAACTTTGTTTAAAACAACTAAACCAGTTTAATATGTGTTTCAATTAAAAACCAAATATTTGCATGAAACTTACACTAATTTGTTCCATTTTCCATAAAGAGATTTTTGAGAATGTATAAGTTAAGAGAGTAGATGTAACACTGGACAAAATCTAGCTAAGACCTGTCAGATCATATTTTTTACGAAAACTGTTTGATGATCAATAAATCCTGTTAAGTATCTGTTTACCTGACATCCACCTGAAGCCCAGGCATCCCCGGACACATTCCAGTACATACACACAGCAGAGTAACCCTGGATCTCCAGCGTCAAGGTCAATACACATGATGTCAAGGACAAACATCCTTTGTTTAATTCCCTATAGTTATCCATTGTTTGATCAACACAGAAACCTATTGCTATGACTCCAGATGGTAAGGAAGTAAAGATGTGAGTAAAGTTGTTAGATTTATTGAGGGAAATCCCAGCTGATGTGATGTCATAATGACTCACATTAGTACCATTTTGTATTTCCATTGCACTGATTGAAAGGTTAAATGTCAAAGGTCGTATGGTCAAAATGTTGGATCTTTTTTTAGTGACATTTAAATTCAAAACCCGGCAAAGATCATCAGGTGTGCTGTTAAAACTATCAAAACTTGCGGCATTGATGGTAAAATTCTCTTCAGATTTCTCTGCCGTTGGATCTGTGTGATAGAAATGTTTGCTTAAAACAGTTCTGAATAAAATGAAGAGTATGACTTTTTCACAGAATAGTTTTCTTGTTCAAAAGATTCCAAAGTATGAATCTAAACCAAATGAATTCATTCCCTTTTAAACCATTTATTAACATCCATTTCCAACCCATTTTATGAAAAGTTTCTAGTTCCCACAAATAACACATGGTATACTATCTATAAGTATTTCATAAATGCTTGAAATTGAGCTTAGTTTTGCATATTTTGTCTTAAAGCTTACTGCATAATATGCAATATCAATAAAGCCCTATACAAAGAACTCTATGGTACTCACTGGTGTTGGAGATGAATATTTGTACTGGATCCATTAGATCTGTAACATTTACAATTTGTTGTTGGTCATTTCTCAGAGTCATGGAAACCATTGGTGTGGTCAGATTATCAGAGGAAAGGTCCCAGATGAAAGGATTCTTCTCAGTTAGCATTACCTACCAAACACACAAAAATGACTAAAAATATGTAAATCATATACTGTAGATCACTAAATTTTCGCGACACCTTATTTTTCGAGAGACTGTAATTGACTCTTTGTAAGCGAGACATAATTTTCACGAATAGTTGTTATTCCTCTATATAATCGTAAGGAATACTTTTATACGCAAGAATTAAATTTTCGCTAACGCATTGTCTCGTGTAATTACTCGAAAATAAAGTTCTCGCGAATAAAAAGTGATTTACAGTACATGTTTCACAATTTTTGTGCTAAGAGAGGTGAATTATTTTTATGTAATAACACTTAAGAGAAGTACAAGATTGATCATGTGAGAAATTACAATAAAAAAAAGAACCATCCATAATGTTTTAAAACCATGTCAAGTTCATGGTTAGTTGATTACCTGAATGCTTGCATACGATGTATTGCTCAACAAGGCTGACAACTTGCTATCTGCTGGAATTGTGAAATCACCAGAGTTATTCCCCCTACTTAGGTTTAATTCCTTCCTTGCTAACTGTGAGGGTGAAGCCTTGGATAGAGCTAGGTTCATTTTACTGGTGGTAAACACCGAGGGATTAGCATCAGGCTTGATAAACTCCATCATTACGTCAGTGATTGTATCTACAGTCCCAAGTAGCTTCTCTGCTGAACTCTTTACCTATAAGATCAGAGCAATTATTTAATATTTATATTGAGAAGAATATTATGAATGTTTTTCAACTATCCTGAACACAAAACAAGTGAGGTAAAGGTTATTTTGAGGATAAAAGTTTGAAAGTTTTGACAAAGATGAATAGCTCTGATCACTTCGTATTTTTTTCTTTCATGAAGATTGATAAAAATTCCATGACCAAATTCAATTCTTGACCAGTTTCATTGAAAGCCAAGTAAATATAAAACAAAAGAGGATTCAAGGTCTTAGGAAAGGTCAAGGTCAGATTAAAGGCTATAAAAATAATTTAATAACCTTCATCAATCACCTCAACTTACCTTAGTGTAATATTTGCTTGTATAGACTAATATGTTCATACTCAACTCACCTGTCTTTCTAGTGTGTCATTTGCTGGTCCTGAGTGTAATGCCTCGTACCCTGACTTAGTCTTGGTGTCCAGTAACAAGGTAATTCCTTCCAACAGTAACCTGGATTTTTAAATCAAAATCCAATATGTATAAGTCTGAATTTTGATTTAAATATTCAATAGTGTCTTTGAAACTAAGCTTATCACTATATGTGATAGAAAGAATAACAAGAGGCCCAGGGGCCACATCGCTCACCTGAGACCTTACCTTAACTGAAAAGTTTACTGAAGGGGGGGGGGGGGGGCTTGAATTTTAATACTACTTGAGAATGCCTTCATAATAATACAGCATATGGCTTTGCTTTTCTTGATAAAAAGATTTTTTAAAAACATTTTCTTCCTATATATAACTTCATAATAATTTGAATTTGATTCCCCATTGTTTCCGTCCCTACCCCAAAGGGCCATGATTACATGAGGATGCTTACATGTCAATATGGCTAAACAAAGGTTTTCTGTTCTTGGGATTTTTCCCTTTAATTGGATTTATTTTTCTACACTACCCGAAAATTAGGGATGTGTGATTTTATCGGTATACTGGTATATCGCGATTTTTTATTGCGTGATACGTATCGTGATACGGAGACCTTAATACCGGTATTTAAGTACATATGATAAAGTCCAGAATTTATTCATTTATTTGTTTAATCTTTTCAAATTACAATAACAGAAAGTATAAAAATGTTGTAAAACGTGAAAAGAACGGCATCTTACCGTCCAAACATAGTTGATTTTATATATATAAATAAATATTTCAAGAAAATAAAAATTTTGTTTTTCAAGCAAATTTTTTGAAAAATAATGACTTTTCATATAAAATCATTGTAAAAACTGCTTTTAAAAATATCATGATTTTATCGTGATATTGTGGGAAAAAATCGTGATATATCGCAATACGAAATTTTTGGCGATACCCATCCCTACCAAAAATGTTTCCATATAAATTCTAGTATTACTAATCATGGCTTTGATATTCTTGGGGAGATTTTTTAAAATATATTTTAATGTAAAACTTGGATCCCCTATTTCGGCCACACCAATCCCTGGGGGGGGAGGGGGGGTCATGATTTGAACAAACTAGAATCTACACTACCTCTGGATGATTCCACATAAATATCACTAATCATGGCTTTGAAGTACTTAAGAAGACGATTTTAAAAGATTTCCCTATCTAGTCCTATGTTAAACTTTGATCAGCCATTTTGGCCCCACCTTACCCCAGGGGGTCATGATTTGAATAAACTTGAATCTACACTACCTGAGGATGATTCCACATGAGTTTCATCTTTCCTAACCCAGTGGTTCTTGAGAAGAAGATTTTTCCAATTTTTTCCTATGTAAAACTTTGATCGGCCATTGTGGCTCCACCCTACCCCGGGGGGTCATGATTTAAACAAATTTGAATCTACACTACCTGAGGATGATTCCACATGAGTTTCATATTTCCTGGCCCAGTGGTTCTTGAGAAGAAGATTTTTAAAGATTTTCCCTATATACTCCTATGTAAAACTTTGATCGGCCATTGTGGCCCCACCCTACCCCAGGGGGTCATGATTTGAATAAACTTGAATCTACACTACTTGAGGATGCTTCCACATGAGTTTCATCTTTTTTGGCCCAGTGGTTCTTGAGAAGAAGATTTTGTTAAAATGCCATGAATTTTTCACTAATTCATAATTATCTCCCCTTGGAAGATGTTGTGGCCCTTCATTTGAAGAAACTTGAATCCCCTTCACCTAAGCATACTTTGTGGCAAGTCTGGTTAGAATTGGCCCAGTGGTTCTTGAGAAGAAGATGAAAATGTGAAAAGTTTACGACGACAACAGACAACGGACAAATTTTGATCAGAAAAGCTCACTTGAGCCTTTAGCTCAGGTGAGCTAAAAAGGATGGAATTTAAGACAGATATGTCAAACACTGTATCCCAAACCATATACAAAGCTGCCATTTCAAGGCATAATAAATGGATTTTATTTAATAATGAAGTTTATAACTAAATGTGTGTAGTATGATAAATGGAAAACAAATAAACACAGTTAAAGAAAAAATCAATTTTTTTTTTTTGAGTTTTAAGCTTGTCAGTGTTACCCTGCAGTGGTTTCAGCAGCAGTCTGTGAGATGTTGACGGATTGTGTAGAAAAAGCTGTGGTCATTCCATCATACAATTCTATGGCTTTGTCCTAAAATCATACAGATATTTGTGTACTGTTATATTCTTAACATAAATCTGTGAACATTTTCAGAAACTGGAATCTTACTGTTTGCTAATGCTTAGATTCTGGTTACTGATAATTTCAACAAAGAAGTTATACATTTTCCCTGAGTCTTAACTTCTTTTACTGAGTCTCAGATTCTTTATCTCTTTTGGTCCAAAACAAATACAGTGGAGCCTCATTTATCCGGACGCTTTGGTTCCTTGTCAATTTGTCCAGATATGTGAAGCGTCCAGATATCTGAATTACCAATTAAACAAGACAATGTAGCATTAAAAATTTCTGTTCCGATGAAAAGTCGTCCGGATACTGAAGCATCCGGATATCTGGCGTCCGGATATCTGAAGGTCCACTGTATTTCATTTCTGTATCCCAGACCTGAGTTTCCTCTGACAGTTCCTCCTGAACCTCAGTGGCTGTGTTGAGGACACTGGTGATAGCGTTAATGTCGATACTTTCTGGGGGTCCCGAGGAGGAGTTGACAAGCACCGCCACAAGGGCACCACGGATCTGAAAGAAAAAACAATTACTAGCACCATCACAACGCATGTTTAACTAGAACTGTCCAAACGGGACAAAATACTCCCCACTGTTTTTTTTCAGTGGTAACTTTTTCCATAATAAAGATATGCGTCATACATGAATCAAACAATTTTTCTTTCAGTGACCTTGAACTTGCACAGATGACCTTGGGTCAACGTCATGACACACCATTAGGTCATGGGCAATCTTTGTGTGAAATGAGAACGTACCAAGTTTATCCATAAGAAAGATATGGACCGGACACAAATTATGAAATTTTTCTTCCAGTGACCTTGAACTTCCCCAAATGACCTTGGTTCAAGGTCATGACACACCCTTAGGTCATGGGCAATCTTTGTGTGAAATGAGAACCTACCAAATTTATCCATAAGAAAGATATGGACCAGACACAAATTATGAAATTTTTCTTCCAGTGACCTTGAACTTCCCCAAATGACCTTGGTGCAAGATCATGACACACCCTTAGGTCATGGGCAATCTTTGTGTGAAATGAGAACCTACCAAATTTATCCATAAGAAAGATGTGGACCGGACACAAATTATGAAATTTTTCTTCCAGTGACCTTGAACTTCCTCAAATGACCTTGGTTCAAGGTCATGACACACCCTTAGGTCATGGGCAATCTTTGTGTGAAATGAGAACCTACCAAGTTTATCCATAAGAAAGATATGGACCAGACACAAATTATAAAATTTTCCTTCCAGTGACCTTGAACTTCCCCAAATGACCTTGACCCAAGGTCATGACACATCCTTAAGTCAGGAGGAATCTTTGTGTGAAAAGAGAACCTACCAAGTTTATCCATAAGAAAGATATGGACTGGACAGGAATTATGAATTTCTTCTTCCAGTGACCTTGAACTTCCCCAAATGACCTTGAATCAAGGTCATGACACACCCTCAGGTCATGGGCAATCTTTGTGTGGAGTAGTAGATTCTAATGTTCCTCCGTAAGAAAGATATGGACCGGACGCGTTTGCACAAACAGACGGACGGACGGACAGCTAGACAGAGGGACAAGGTGATTCCTATATACCCCCAAACTTCGTTTGGGGGGGGGAGGGGGTTAAAAAGACAGATTGCTTTTTACCTGAGAAGCATTAATCATTTTACCTTTAAATTGTCCAAGGTCAAATGTTTAATGCCTCTCTCATCAAGTCTAATTAAGGCAAAGATCCATTACACATTACTTTACCTTTTTCCACCTTTAAACAAATAGTTAAAGGATGCATTTAAATGTAAAGAGTAACATTTCAAGTACTCAAAACCTAGTTGTGAAGTACTGGAAAATTTAAAAAAAAGATAATATACCAGGTATGTCCAAATACCTTTTTTTTTTTAGATTTTAAAATATTTAATAATTTGAAACACTGAAATGGGGGAGTGAATAAATTTCATCCACATGGCCAGTCAGTCAAGTTTACATTATAATTATATCAGTGTTTATACCTGTGTACGTTGCTCTTGTCTGTGTTGATCTCCTGGACTTGATTCTACATCTTTGTTTAAAGTCACTACCGAGGACCTTAGGACTTGTGTTACAGCTGTTCAAAAGTTCAATAGTTCTGTTTTAATTCAGATGATACAGTAAAAACATCATCAAAGTCACTACCATAGACCTTAGGACTTAACTGTGTTACAGCTGTTCTTAATAGAGATGGCTTTGGCAACTGAGGTCTACACTAACTTGTATTTTGCATAGATTGCTTAAATACAAAGAATTTACTTAATCTAATAGGAAACAAAAAATGTTTACTCAGTGAAGATGCAATAGGAATTGTAAACCAAGTCTGCCTTCAAAACAAGTAGTCAACTTTTATTTTTTTTTTAATTGATATGACTGCCGTCATGAGAAAAGGGCCCTTATCTTTTGACGTCACAATGCTCAGAAAACGACGTCAAAGTCGCGGTATTGTAAACACGGAAGTAATTTTTGTTGACTGCATTTTGTATACAAGAAATAAAATTGAATTCAAGAATTTGAAACTTGATGCGGACATTTTTTAATAGGTTTTGATATTATTACAATTTCGTACTGAAATTTATTCATAATTTTGTTTAAGTATTCAACTTCATGTTGATATACGGGACATTGGACATGCCCATTCCTAGCTCTGGAACAGCGATTAAAATGATGTCTATAACATTGACTAAATTAAAGATGCTGCATATTTGTTTTCTTGGCAATTTACAAATGCTTAAATTTGAATTAATTTAAGGTACATTGATACTCTGATAAGAGAGATAACTCTAAATGACACAAATCTCTATTATTTCTTTATAAATTTGTCAAGTTGAAGTGCCTTTGATGTCAAATTTTGCCCTGCAAGCCATGATAAAATTGTTTGTATTTTATTTTGAATAATTATATTTTTCTTTTGGAAAATTATAAAAGTTAAAGTAACATTTTATATGAGTAAGCAGAGGGTTTATTAACCTTCATATTAAAAGGCATATTCCATATACATGTATATTTTTTTCCAGAGAGAGAGAGAGAGAGAGAGAGAGAGAGAGAGAGAGAGAGAGAGAGAGAGAGAGAAGGAAGGAAGGAGAGTGAGCGAGAGATCTATGCATATACTCAGTAGTAATTACCGTTCGTATAAGCGCTACTTTTTTTCCTGAAAAATATATGCCATTTAAAACGTATTTAGCCATTTTAATTTTAATCCATAGTTAATCATACTGATGTTCTCCGAAAGCAAGCCTTCTGTGAACTGTCGATTTTAAAATGTGTGTAAAAGAAATAAGAGTGAGGGGGGGGGGGGGGGTTAAGAAAACAAACCAAAAAAATCTCCGAATACAAAGACCGCGATTAAAGTTAAAGCTAAGAAACATAATCCGTCTTTGGTTGAATAAAGATACTGGTAACATGGGAGATCCAAACCTTCTTCATGAATATTAAATATTTACTAAATTAACAATAATATAATAAGCTACGGAAAAAAATACGGAGGATGGGGCATCGTCGCAAACCACGGCCAAGATGTACGATCTTCTCCCATTCTGGTCGTGGTTGAATGAAGAAAATTTCTCGTAGTTCATTTAAATATTGACCAATGCGCGTAAAGCATAGTCGGATAATGAACTTTGATGTGACCTTTCAATATCCAATCGCAGTGTACGAAATACTGTAGATCACTTAATTTTCGCGACACTTTATTTTCGCGAGATAGACATTGACTCCTTATTAGCGAGACAAAATTTTCACGAATTGTGGTCATTGCTCTACGTAATCTTAAGGAATTCTATTATACGCGAGAATGAAATTTTCACGAGCATACCGTCTCGCGTAATTACGCGAAAATAAAGTGATTTACAGTATTTCTTGAGTACTGCTGATGTCATTTGTTGATTTCAATTGCGGTAGAAACAAAACTTGTCATTCTCTGAATATGACGCCACAATAGAGATAAGAGGGTTAAACATTCAAAATTACGACACTTTTTGTGTTCAAGCAGCCACGGGTATAGAAAAGAGCTACATGTATATGCGGACTCTGAACGTAGCTTGAGACAATGAGGATGTCGATGCCACAAAAATTTTGCTACAATAAAATTTGTTTCAAAAACTAATTTAAAACTAGGAGACTTATTGTTCACAGAACAATAAGAGGTCTTTCCACCTTTTTAATTTTTTCATAGTTTAATATTTCACTCTCTAAATTTAATTTTAAGGGAAATGGCTTAAAAAAAAGTTAAAATTGAAAAAAAAAATTTTTGAAATGACCTTGACCTTGAAAAAATTTACAAGGTCAAAGGTCAAGGGTCACAATGCAATTGACCCCTGCTTCTACCATCCATAGTTATCAAGATACAAGGTTTAATAGTAAGTATAAAGAAATTAAAGGGCAATAACTCATATAAGGGGTCATCAGATTCTTCTGCACTTATACAGTGAAGTTAGGCCTAAAGACCCTTAAGACATTAGTAAAGGTTTGGTGTCTCTAGGGTCTACAGTTTCGGAGGAGTAGCGATAACAAGGTTTTTCGCACAAGGGGCAATAACTTTTAAAAGGTTAAATCTTAGGGGAGAAGAATGGAATCTTTGAAACACTTTTAAGAGTACATATTAATGATGCATAGACATTAAGTACATAATGAAAGACAAAAGAGATACAAAAAGAGGTAATTTTCTCATTTTTGGAATGACCTTGACCTTTGACCTTTATATGAATTTTAAGGTCAAAGGTCAATGAATCTTATGCAGTTGGTCCCATGTCTCTACGACTTCTTGTTTTGAAAATTTTTAATTATTTGTAAAATTCAAAAAGTTTCAGGGGCAATAACTCATTGAAGGGGTCACCGAATGCTTTCGCAATGAATAGATTGAAGAGTCCCCATAATTAGTTGAAGACATTCATGAAGGTTTCATACCTGTGCGGTTTACAGTTTCTGAGGAGTAGCGATAACAATCATTTCTTGCAAAAGGGGCAATAACTTCGAAAGGGCTTGAAGTTCATTTACGCAGGGTTTAACTAAAAGATCATTGAAGAAGTACATTCATATAAACTATAAATCTTTTTGATAACTTCAGAAACAAAAAACCATTCGGCGGAAAAATAATAATAATAACTAGGAGACTTATTGTTCAAAGAACAATAAGAGGTCTTTCCACCTTCTTTGAATTTCAATTTTGTTTTAAAATTCAATTCCATGAATAAGAAACCAAAATTGTTTTAAAGAATAGCAAAAATTAAAAATTAAAAAAAAAATGAAATGACCTTGACCTTTGACCTTGAAAAATAATTCAAGGTCAAAGGTCAAGGGTCACAATGCAATTGACCCCATGCTTCTACGATTTATAGTTTACAAGTTATAAGGTTAAATAGGAAGTACAAAGACGTTAAAGGGCAATAACTCATATAAGGGTCATCAGATCCTTTTGCACTTATATAGAGAAGTTAGGACTTAAGACCCTTAAGACATTAGTGAAGGTTTGATGTCAATACGGTCTACAGTTTCGGAGAAGTAGCGATAACAAGGTTTTTTGCACAAGGGGCAATAACTTTTTAAAGGGTTAATCTTTGGGGACAAGAATAAAATATTTGAAAGAGTTTTAAGAGTACATATTACTGATGCGTAGACATTAAGTTTATGTTAAGAGACAAAAGAGATATAAAAAATGTTAAATTTTTCATTTTTGGAATGACCTTGACATTTGACCTTTACATGCATTTTAAGGTCAAAGCTTAATGAATCTTATGCAGTTGGTCTCATGTCTTTACAACTTGTCATTTTGAAAATTTTTAATTATTTGTAAAATTCAAAAATTTCAGGGGCAATAATTCATAGAAGGGGTCTTTGAATCCTTTCACAATGAATAGATCTGAAGGTCCTCTCAAGTAGTCGCAGACATTGGTAAAGGTTTCAAACCTCTGCAGTTTACGGTTTCGGAGGAGTAGCGATAACAAGCATTTATTGCATAAGGGGCAATAACTTTTAAAAGGGTTAATGATAGGGGACAAGAATGAAATCTCTCAAATAGTTTTAAGAGGGCTTATTTATGTTGCATAGACTTTAAGTATATGTTGAACAACAAAAGAGATATAAAAGGACCTTAATTTCTCAGTTTTGGAATGACCTTGACCTTTGACCTTTGCATAAATTTTAAGGACAATGGTCAATGAATCTTATGCAGTTGGTCCCATGTCTCAACGAGTTCTCTTTTAAAAAAATTTTCATTATTTGTAGAATTCAAAAATTTTCAGGGGCAATAACTCATAGTAGGGGTCTACAAATCCTTTCGCAATGAATAGATCCGAAGGTCCTCTCAATTAGTCGCAGACATTGGTAAAGGTTTCAAACCTCTGCGGTTTACGGTTTCGGAGGAGTAGCGATAACAAGCATTTCTTGCAAAAGGGGCAATAACTCCTTTAACGGTCAAAGTTCATCTACGCAGGGTCAACAGCGAAAATCATTTACGAAGTGCATTCCTATGGTCTATAAATCTTTTCGATAAATCTTGAAACTCAAAAACACATTTGGCGGAAAAATAATAATAATAAACAGAACAATTTCAATAGGTCTTTCCACAGAAAGGTGGAAAGACCTAACTAGGAGACTAATTGTTCTTGAACAATTAGAGGTCTTTCCACCTTCTTTGAATTTCAATTGATATTTATCTCTTTAAAATTAAATTCATGGGGGAAAAAGAATTGGCTCAAAAGATGAAAAAAAAGAAATTTTCAGAAATTTTGAAGTGACCTTGACCTTTGACCTTTAAACGCCACGGATTGATGATATTGAGATCGGTGATAAGAGGGTAAATGTTATGCTTGCGCATGAAAAATCAGTTAAACAAGATAAAAAAAATATAATATTGTGAGTATGACTAATTACTACAAAATTCCATTGGGTTTTAGGGGCATACACATGCTGCGAAGTTTTTAAATAAATTTCCTTAATTTTACGGAAGTCAAAATAAAAGTCGCAGTCCCTTTTGACGAAATTATCTGCAATCAATTAATCATAGACTGAGGTGAATGAACAAAACGTAATAATTAATCCAATGCAATATTGATTTTATGTTAATGAATCGGGTTAAAT